TACATGCCTTGAGATTAAATGTCACATCACAAATAAAAAACGCTTCAATATCCAATTACATAATTTCAAACCTTAACAAAAAATCATATTTGTTCCTATCACTTTTTTTTTTTTTTTTTGCATATAAGAGGCTCCTAAAGACCTTTCAATGTCTCTTATGTATTAGGCAAAAGGGAGAAACCTTAAGAGACTATATGACAAGCTTCAAGAATGCCACTCATAAGTTCATTGATAACGATAAGTTCCTTGCCAAAACCACCTTCATCTTGGGATTAGAATCAATAAATTTTAAATTCTCGAAGGAAATTAACCCTCTTGACAACATGGAGGGCTAGCTCAGAAAGGTTGCAAAGTTTACTAGTTTTGAAGATGATATGTAGAACTCAAACACCCCCAGTAAACAGTGGTCCTCTTTTCCTTAAGAATGGCAACAACAACAATAGTAATTTTTCTTTACATTTTGAGAAGAAACTCAAGAGGATGACTTAAGAAATTAATTCAGACAGCAAGCACCTACTCCTACGAGCCATATATCGCATTGCTTCCCAAAAGATATTTTGAAGTTCACCAATCTCCTCTTAATTGATCACCACCCACTATTATGGAATCCATCCAGAATAAAAAAAAAATCCTAGCAATGCCTCCCAAAAGGTATTTTGACGTTCACCTACATCATCTTAATTGGTTATCACCATTATGGCAACCAGCCATAATAAAGAATACTCCAATTTGCTAACACCACTAAATAATTTGACAAAGGGAAAAGATAAATCTAAATTATATCTATATCATAATGATAAAAAACTATAGAGTTCTCAAATCTTTAATGATGATGATGATGATAATAATAATAATAATAATAAATGAAGGTTATTTGAAGGAGTGTATTATTTATCACCAAGACCACAAGTAACCTACGAAAGATTTTCCTAATACATCATATAATAAGATAAACAAAATAAGCACCATGAATGACAAAAGTGAAGGGGTTAAGAGTCAAAATGGTATGACTCAAGAGCTTAAATGATGTAGCACATTAGATGAATCAAGTTAGAGGTCCAATTACAAAAGGTATGACCAAAGCTCAAGATAACAATCAAAGAAAGACCCATTGAAAAAAACACAGTTGAAGGCCCAACTAAAGAGTACTTAAATTTGCATTTTCTCTCTGGTATTTTGTAGTTTTATTTTCTTTATTAATACTGCCATTAGTTGTCCATCCATGACTTGTTTTATAATTGAAAAGAGCATTAAATGGATTGTTTGAAACACCCTCCATTATATGGTTAGCCACCAATTCTCTTCACTTTTCTCCTCTAAAATGCATTTTAATGAGGTAGATCAAGAATCATGTAAATGTGTACGTGTATATATATGATTGTTCTGTAATTAAATATTTTCAACTTTTGAATGAACAAATTGCTTTGAAGATATTTCTTCTCTTTGCCTAGTGCTTGGCGGCCTAACCTAGCCTTTCTTTGATGATATTATAAATTATCTTTTGTGCTCTTTAAATTTATAGGCAACTCTTCTTCTAAATCATCACCACCCCTTTCTTTACATTATATCATCTAAACCAATCATCACTCAAATCTTTAAATCCACGCCAAACCTTTCATAATAGCTCACAACAAGGCCTAGGTGAACAACAATTAAATATTATTCTCTATACCAATACGAGGCCTTAAACCTCAATAAAATACTCTATATCATAAAGTAATCCTCCACCATCATTTCCCCTATTTTGATAACTTAAAACCCATTCCCAAAATAGATAAGTATAAATTTGGGCAATTTGCACTGGTCTTGGTCATCTTTCTATCATACAACTCGAGAGGCCTCAAATTCATATAAAAAATTCAAGATCACAACCTCACCCAATACAGAAAAAATCTATAAGAATTTTCATCCACCAAACCCACCAAAAGGCATCCCACCCACATCATTGAAAGAATTAACAATATTAAATTCAAAGCATTGTGTTTTATTACAATTTTTAAGCTTTTTTATTGCATTCTTAAGATATCATTAGATCAAGACGCCTCCAAAGAATGAAGAGAAGACAAGTTTTATCATGGCCAAAGAATATTCTGTTATCACGTCATGCCCTTCAGACTGCAAAACACTAGTTATACATCAAAGGCTGAGGAATAAATTCTTTAAAAGTAAAACAGAAAAAAAAAAAAAACTTGGAGGTGTACGTTGATAATGTTTGAGGTTAAAAGCCAAAAAAGATGAGTATCACCTTGTTGACCTCGCTAAGATGTTTTCTTCCCTTAGAAGATAACATAAAATTAAATACTGTAAGATGCTTATTTGCAGCACACTTGAGAAAATACTTGGGGTATATGATCTCAGCAAAATAAATAAAAATCAATCTAGATGAAATCAATGCTATTATGGAAATGAATCTCCAATATAAAACCAAAAAAAAAAAAAAAAAAAAAATCTCCAAAATTTATCCAAGAGATGAGTAATATAAATGGTAAGCTCGCCAGCCTCAATAGATCTGTTTCTCCGGATAGGGAGAAGAATGCTATTATTAAAGGCTCTTTGCAACTCAAATCAGTTCGTATGGGATGATGAATTTCAAGTCATTCAAAAAGTTGAAGACATACCTCGCCATTGAACCAGTTCCTTAGCAGCTCAAAACTAGGAGAGAATTTGCTCCTATACTTAAAGAGTAAATTTTAATATTGTTAGCTCAATCATGGTACAAGAAGCGAAAAGCAACACCCAGTCCATTATTTAGGCTTCGTTTGGGACGGCTTTATTACTGCTTCATAAAGCAGCTTTCTAGTAAAAAATTAATTTTTTATATTAGAAAGCTGTTTTAAAAAGTAGAAAAAAAAGTCGTCCCAAACGAAACATTAAGCAATATACTGAGTGGAGCTGGGCTGTAAGAAAGACTAATGAGGTAGTTTATACATGCCACTTATTTGCAATCAAGGTATTGATACACGTAGATTTTGCTGTCGAGTTTTCTATGTTGGAAGAGAGTAAAAATAACCTGGAGACAAAAAAAAAGGGCATACAAACCATGCATATAGATGGTGTTTATGATAAAACCAACAATTACAAGGCATTATAATCTAAAGTTCTCAAGGTTGGCATTATTATCTTCTATCAAAATTATTTTTAAGGCACTAAAAATCAAGTATAAAGTATTGCTTGCTAGACTCGGACTTGCCAAGAAGCTATGTTTCATGATTCTCAACTCAATGAACTATGTATTGGCATACTATAAGAATGAAGAAAATACTTTATTTAGATTTCTCAATAAGGTACAAATGAAACTTATCAAAATTAAGAAATTTACTAATATTATGCAAGAGAAGTCTATAGCCAATTTTCTATAGTAGAGAAAACAAATAAGATTATTATCTACCTGCTACAGAAAATCTTTGATAATCTAGAAAGTTGGCAGATGAATTGACATCAATGCTATGCCATACAAAATAACTCCAACCATCATGGGTGAAACACTTTTATTAGCATTGGATACAAAGAAATAACTCAGTAAGAAATCTGCTTCCTGACATTCTAGAACAAGAAGAACAATTCATTAACAATTGAGAAAGTCATAAATTGAATACAACAAAATAATAAGATGTTAAGGAAATGCAATCAAGATATGCTTGAGGAAAACTAAATACCAGCGTCCGAAAGGATAAGTAAGTAGAAGGATAGCGCAGTCAAATTCATGAAATTAAAAGTCAAGCATAAGGAAATCAATGATGGTGAAATAGTTCTCAAGAAAATAAAGGTCAGCATAAAGCACTCTACAACAACAACAATAAGTCTTTATCCCACCAAGTGAGGTAAGCTAAATGAATTATTTTTCTCCATTGTGCGTTATTAAGAGTCAAATTATCATTTCTTCTACTTTTTAACCAGAACTTTTTAAGTCTACCCCTATCTTCTTAACATATGTCGGATCTAATACGTCTATTGGAATGCCAACATTTTACATGACCAAATCATCTAAGGCGATTATCTATAATCTTATCTGCAACTAGAGCTACTCCAACCTTCTCATGCATATACTCCTTTCACAAAGCGTAGGAAAGGCTTGTACCATGGAAGCATAGGAAAGCTTGGATGACACAATTGTTGGTTCAAAGATAAAAATTTGGTTGCCATACGGTTAGAAGTTTTATGATGGCATTGTTGATTTTTTTTAATAAAAGTACAAGAATGCATAAAATTTGTATGATGGTGATGTAGAGGTGTTGCTCCTAAAGAAAAAGTAATGGGAGTTTATTGAAGGTGAAACCAAGATGCATGGGGTGCAGGAAAAGGGTGAAATCGATGTTACAGACATTCTTACCAAGAGAGTTTATAACTCTACTTTTCTATGACTAATTACCAAGCTAAGAATGACAGATCTGTATTCCCCAGCTTGAGGGGGAGTGTTAAATCTCAAACGTCCCTTTGCCCTTAATCTCAATGCCAGCATGGGGATATGTGGAAGGCTCACCTGAATTACGTTGTTAAATCTCTGTCATCCCTTGGCCCTTGATCCCACGGCCAGTATGAGGATCCATGGGAGGCTCACCAAGATCACACTGATCTCCTTCTATATTTGGGTGGCTTATTTAAGAAAGATTATATTAAGGTAATTATGCATGATTCTATAGTTATTTGTTTTTTTATTAAGATATATTGTATAGATATATAAATAGGAGTAGTTTTGTATAATAAAATTAAGTCTTTGTCCTCTCCAATTCTCTGAAATTACATATACAATTTCTGTTTCATTAGGAAGCACTCAGCATGCAATGAGGAAATGGCAAATGTATAGTTTGTGACTAGGATAGACGAGGAAGGGGAGAAGATTAGTTGTTTTCATCCTTTGAATCATCCTAAAAATTTGTAACCAGGTGAAAAAGACAACTAATCTGTTCGAAATGGACATAGAGTTAAGTTTGTTATCAAATTTAGAAAATTAGAATGAGTCCGCGAGGATGCACAAATGTCAAATCTAATGACAGCAGTTGTAAATGGAAACGTTTAATGACATGAAAAAATCATCCAAGTAAATATGATACACAACAGCCATAAAAAAATGTGTTCTCAAAAAGTCATTAAAGTTACATAAACAACAAAACAAAAAGTCAAACATAAGTTAATATATATATAACAATAACAAAAGAACCATTTCATTCAAAATTTTCAACAGAGATTCAGCAGTAGTTAACTAGCCTTGCTACCAATGAATTCTCCTCCAGCATCCCATGGGCGGGTTTTATAAGCCTTCCCAATGATGCTGCGCTTCTGATTTATTGAACCGTCCACACAATGGTATTCAGGGAAATAATCTAAAAAGGTCTTGGTTCCCAATGAATCAACACCCTCAAATAGAAAGTGCCTAATCATTTCCTGTAATTGATGAGAAACAGAAATGGGTGAACAAATATGAATCATGCAGTGGAACAAGTCCTCCGATTTGATAAAACATACTCTTGCCAGATTCTCTCCAATTAATCTTTTCAATAGTGGATGTCCTGGATCCTGTGAATCAGCAAGTGACAATTTTCACTTAAAAACGTTCTCCTCAAGGAAAACACACTTGCAGGAAAAAAAGAATGACAGTTATTTGATACTTTTAAAGAGAAAAAGCGTACCACGGTGGATGAAATCAAGTCCAGATTCATACATATTTTATAAAGAACCATCAGTAACCGATGGAGAACAGATGGGGTTATAAGGAAACATAAAACTACAGAAATGCCATTTCCTTTTTTTTATTTTAAAAGCTTTCTTAAGCAATATTTGTTTGGTTTGATGAAAGAGCAGGGAGACCAAATAAAGCAAAAATACATGAGCAAAAATAAACAGTGTGAAACAAAAATGAAGGAAAGTCAGTTGGAGAATAGAAGCACTTAAGTAAAAACCTTTTCTGCTCTCCATGCTAAGTATTTATGCTGCGCTTCACAGTTACAAACAGTTTGCATTTCATTCACTGCCTCCACTGCCAGTTCCATTGAAACAAGCCATGCCTGCATAGGATCAGTTATTACTTGAGTGATATTATCATATGGCCTCCATATTTTTTGACTTGGTATTATCCCAACTTATTTGTGTATGCTTTATTAAGGAAAGAAAACCAACAACCTATTAAAATTTAAAACTAGTATGTCAATAAAAACTTAGGCTAATGAAACAAAAGCATTCTAGAAAATAGCATGAGAGTAGATTTCCAGAACACCTTACCTAAATAAACATGCATGTCCAAAAACTTGACCAATATATCAAATTTATTCAATAATCATCACCACCATTGTTAATAAAATACAAAATTGAAACGGACATTAAAATATGCGTGTATTATATGGTTTTAGTTTTAAAATTAAGGTGGAAAATATGAATTCGGTTAAAATATAAATTATTATATTTATTTTATTTAGAATTCATACTTGACATGTCAAAATGTGCATGGAAGGGAGTATAATACATGAATTATAATTTTGAAAGTTAAATTGTGTATTTTTTCTTCCTTCTTGAAAGATAAGATAACAACGGAATTTTTTTTTAATTATTCATACATAAAAATATTATATAAGTATAACAAACAAATTTATTAATTGAGGTCATCGCTATCACTATTGATCTTATCCCAACTATTTGAGGCCGATTTTATGAATCCTCATGTACAATTTATTCTTGTGGATTGTTGCCTAAAGATTTAAACCTAATATTTGCATATATTTTTAACTTCTATTAATGTTACCTCAATCCTAACCCATTTTACTTTTTAATCCACTTCATTGCACATGTACAAATAATAAAAGTCTATTTTAAACCATCTTATCTTCAATAGATACTATTCCGAACATCTCTTTAATATAATCATCCTTCCAATAAATTTATTCAATAGCTTTCTCAATTCCAAAGTGTCCTGCAAAACTTCAAATAGACTTTTACTCCAAAATGCAATTAGGTCATGCCAAATCCAAGGATAACCATCACTTGACCAGAGAGACTCTCCCCTAAGCTCTCTAGCAAAAGTTCACTAATCTTTCAATAGCTTATTTGGGTGATAAAATTAGTATGGAGCAACGGTATCTTCTAGAGGATAGACAAAATTATCATATAAAATGGTGTAGAAGTTACTTTTGCTTAAATAATTTAATACATTTGTAACCATAAATGCTAGAAAGTGTACCTTAAAATAATCCTTGAATGTCGCATATAAGACCTCATAGTTCTGCGGGGTTGAATTGATCTTGGACCATATGACGATGGGTGAAAAAAATTTAAGGGACTCGCTTGTGATCTTATCTCCCCAGGGCAAAAGCTGTATGATTATAACTGTTAAAACAACATTTTAACCATCACAATACTCGTAAATGAATACGGCTATAAAATTTGCCACATGTGAATGTGTTAAGAATACTCATAGTTCAAAAAGTACCTCAGCATATTTCTGATAAAGGGGCATCAAGCTTCGATAATATTTCTCTTTGTAATCCCTTTGAAGGGTGGCGCCATATAGAGGATTAAGGTCCCTGGAAATAATGAACGAATAGTAAGTTGAAGTCCTTTCTTACAATTTTATAAAATCACCGCATAAACAATATCTAGCAAATATGTAATGTTGTTAAAACTCTTATCTTCAATGACTAGGTGCAATGAATATTCCTAATACGTGCAAATAAGAGAAGCCGAGATATGAAGATTGTGCATAGTATTCATAAAAAAAACTATCAAGAGAAAAATGTTCACTGCCGAAATGACCAGTTGCAGACCACTAAAAGCACAATTATTATGTAAGCATGGTTTACAATATTCTATATATGTAGATGTTATTGCATCATCATTTACAATACAAGTCCCATGTATTTTCTCCATAGGCTACCCCCTACTAAACCATATAATCTAGAAACCAAATCTCCTCCCACCACCAACAAGGCCAACTACTCTTATTTCTACTAAAGCTGTCACATAGCATTTCTTCACACCGAATGAATGCTCACTCATCACAAGTTCCTCACCCTTTTTGTTGCAGCAACTGCCTCTAGGGGTGTAGGCGAGCTCAAGTGTTGTTCAGTCGGGCTCATTAAGCAAACAAGCCAAAAATTTTTGTTTGTGTTTGACTCATTAACTAATCTAGCCAAATACAAGCTATGCAAGAACACAATTCTACATGAAAATCATATATGACAATCATGAATGCCTTTGTTTTGATTAGAATTATGGCACTCAATTAGGTGAAGAAAAAAGAAAAAAAAAAACATATTTTAATGATTAAAGCAGTTAGCCTACACAGCTCACTTTGACTTGTTGGTTGAGAGCTTAGGCTTCCAACTAAGAGGTCATGGGTTTGAGTCTTTGTGTATGCGTTGTGTGTGTTAGTTTGCCTTAAATGGCATAAATGTCCCACAAAAAAAAAAGCAATTAGCCTTCATATAGTTCATCAAGATGTGAACTTAGTTGGATCATGTTTGAACATATAAATGAAAATATAAGAAAGTATATTGATTGCTAACATGAAACTTCATAATTTAAATATCTTCATAAAATTTTGTTGTAGCTTCATAGCAAAAGAAATAGGATAGATCATTAACACCTCAAGGATTTAAATAACATGAAGTATAAGTGGGTCTTGTGTCACAGTATGGACACAATTTTTTTAAATAGTATAAATGATGCTAATGAGTAGTTAACAAAGAAATTGAATAATGACCTAGATGAAGAGAATAATTTAGTGCATGGTAAAAAAGAGTTGACATGACATGCCATTATAAAAGCTAGCAAAGGCTATGAAAACAACTACAATATTCGAGACATATCTAAAGAAAAGAAAACAAATCTTTATCTAGGTCCATCAAACTAGCAAAAAAAATGAAATTGATGAGGTTGACATTAAGTACCATTATGGAAAATTAGAGGTGATATAACACTAACAAAAAAAAAAGGAAGGATAAGATTTTAAACTAAGGCACTGCATCAAGATCAAGGCTCATCATCAAGCAAAAATATCAAAGGTATAAACAATGATTAGTCTCTCCTCCCTCTGTTGATCTCCTTTTTGGCATCAATCTTTGCTTTTGATCACATTTTTACTCTTTATTATATTTTAAAATTACAAGTGATAGGATCAATACCAATTTGAAGAATATTTTACGTGAGTTTATGCATTTGAACCTTTCATGCACATATTCATCTCATACGTAAAATTTTTCGATCGGTATCTTATATTGCAAAATGGATTGCACCGTTGCATCCAACTCGTTGAGACTAGGGGAAATAAAAAAAAAAGTTTTTTTCCCATTTTTTGTAGCATAGAAATAAACAAAAAACTAACTCTTAGAATCTAAAAACCATATAAACTAATGCAAATATAAGTTGAACAAATACAACTAGACAAATACATTCTCCCCCTTTGATATTATAAAGAAGAAGGGAAACACATAAAAAATAAAATGGAATAGACAAAAAACTCTTATCAGGTGGAGTTGGTGCTGATATTTTAAGAAGAATTAATTAATTTTAGTAAATTTTCTCAAAATAAGAAAGTTACCTATTAATTTTATTTCGAAGCGTAGTAAGAAATGTATTGACTGCACTAAGGTCCAGAAAGACTTGAAATTTAAAATTTATCAATCCTAGCTCCGGCTCCTTTTGGGTTAAAGTCTATTTTTAAAATAAAAATCTAATTTAGACAAGAAATCAAATAAGAAAAGTGATATATTCAAACTTTACTTCAAAAATATTTCTGATCAAATAATATTGCCGTGTAATCAACCAAAATCATGATTTTTAAAAATCAAGTGTTTGAAGATATCAATTAGCATATGAATTATTCTAAGATTTAAAGATTTGAAAGAGGAAGTGATGAGGACATCGACAGACGCTATCGACATGTTTATCGCCGGCGAAACCGCAGATCGACGGCCACGATTCAGCGCCTCTACTTTTGATTGAGATGACATGATGTATTTTATTATTGTCTAGTTTGATTTACTGTTTTCCCATTTTACCCCTGTGGGGAGTTATGTTTCTTTGTAGCCCAGAGGGCAATTTAGTCTTTTTCACTTTTATGAGTCAAGACCTATATATAGTGGTCTCTTGTATCATTTTGAGTTTAATGAATATTATGAATGAAAATTTGTTTTGATTGTCTTGTCTTCTTCTTTTTCTTCTTGTGGAGAGTTAGAGAGGAGAGCGAGAGCCCAAGGTGAGGGCGAAAAGCAACACCCACCAGTCATTGGAAGAGTCTGTGGCTCGTGGTCTATCCCCTTCATTCCTATCCTTCCTCCTTCACAACCGCCGGCCCTAGTCAAGCCTTGGCCGCCGGCAACCCCTCCCCAACCACCGTCCCTTGCACCTCCACGATCCAAATTCAACATCACATTTGGATCAAAGCCTTCCTCCCAAATCATCAAAATCAGCCCCTACTTCCCCACCCGTCGCCCTCACACCCGTC